ATGGTGCAGCACCGCAGTGTTGATTTGGTTGTTTTTTTTTTATTATTATTATTATTATTATTATTATTTTTAATCGGCGGTTCGATCCGTTTATATTGTGGAAGGGGAGTTTCCTTTATCCTACAGAAAATGATTTATTCGATACGGTTTTTTACTATTATTATTTTTATACATTTTTCGGGGAACTCGATGAATAAAATCAAAAAAAACATATGTTTCCATCTACACATATGTGTGCCGATGATGTGTACATTGTGCATTATTTAGTTAAATAAAACCTAGCCGATTTGGCGATCAATGACGTCTTTTGTTTCATTTATGTATGCCACTATTGAGGCCACTGCTAAAACAAAAAAGGAACAATGTGAACTTTAAGTTTGTCTTGCACATGCGGTTAAACGCATCGTTAGTAGATATATGTTAAAATATAATGTGATAGACAACGTACAATACCATATATAATATATATTACTACCACAGGCGGAAGAAGAGGTACGGTTAATGTCTTGTACAAAGTTGGAATATATATATAAATTATATGAGTTACGGTAAGACTGGTAAAAGTATGAATACCGGTAAAATCCAGGATTTACTGCTAAATCCAAAGTTTCATTGACTAGTGACTACTGTCGGTTTGGTTAAACCCCAATTTATTTTTGTAGTTGGAACTTTTAAAGACGATGTTTGATAAATCTCGAGAATATAAGCAATCTGAAAATGTTGGCCAACTGTGCGATATTTTTATTTTTTCCCCTTTATTGCTTTATACTCGTAACTAAATATAATCACAATGTTATTCGTCAATTTAAAAATAACAAAAATTATAACCTATTTAATTATACTAAATACTAATTTTTAGGTACTACAGATATATATATATTATCTTTATAATATATCATGACAAAAAAAAATGTATGTTATTTATTTATGAACGGCTATAGTGACATCTCGAGTAAAACTATTCATTTTTGAATCGATATATGCATCAGTCTTATTAATTATTGTCCACTATTCAAAAAAAGTTGCTATACTATTTTAGTAGGTACTTGACGGTATTGATGTGTAGGTATCAATTTTATAATTTAAAATTATTGTCAATATAAAATAGTTTTTAGCTGAAGGTGAGTCGCTTCGCGCGAATAAAAAGTTGAACATTCTTGCATCCACAATTAACCAGTATAGGTAATGTGTAGGATCAACTACTTTAATCTAATCAAATTATTAAATTATTCTAATTATATCTGATTATCCAATTATGGTGATTGATTAACATTGCTTTCCATATTCTGACTCGTTTTTGCTGTTCAATTATGAGATTCTTCTCAATGTTGCCTAATTGTTTATGTCTAACATTAATCATTTCCTAAATCTTTTATTTCGACATATTTGGTTTCTCCGACAATTTCTAATTTTTAGAATTATCGTGTTAGTAAAGTTTTATTAGGTTCCTTGTCGACTTAAATTTCTTCATCAATCTCGCAAACTTTGACCAAATCTACACTTGGTTTCGTAAACAGTACCTCTAAATCTTTTTCTGTTTCGGCAATACATTTTTTATTAGAAATTAACTTACTAATCCTATGTATTTTTCAATACTCCTGGATATTAATCTATTATGAAACCTGTTGCATATATTAAAATTAATTTAATTTTGTGTATCTTTTACACAGTATTAAGTATACGAATAACTGTTATCATATCTTATGTCTTTTGGCAAACTGATTATGATTAGGTACACATATGTAAAAGCTAACGTCTTTTATCATGATTTATATTTAAGTCAAAATTAAAATTTCAATCACCCTAATAAATTATTTATTTAAATTAAAAATATTTATAATATTTAATGCATTATTTAATATTAAGTATAATTAAAACATAATACAGTTACCTGCTCTGCACTTCTTAAAGATAATTTATTTTTTTTTGTGAAAAGGTTAATATTTTATCGATATACTAACCTTTCCAATATGCTTCGACTGTCTGCTAGTCATTTATGCCTAGTTTCATAACCATAATAAAGTGCTATCATAAATATAATTCTGCGATTTAAGCTGAACGTAAATAACGTTCAATAATTAATAATCAAAATAGATTTTGTCTTAAAATTAAAATTAAAAGTTGGAAAGTAGATGACCACTCAACTGTACACTAGGTGTCAAGTATTTCTCGTAATCGATTACGTTATTGTAATGGACGTGTTAAATTTAAATTCAATGATAAATCATTAATTAATCCTTCATTTGAAACAGCCACTGTCAGCTCATTTTACTAACTATTAACTATGTATATTTATTTTCATTACATATTTATATTTTATATTGATATTACAACCATTTATTTTTTAATTATTATCACAGTACAATATTTTTTGTTTTAGATATTGTAGTTTTTTATGAGAAATAATTATAAGGACAATTGTATTACATTTTTAATAAAAAATTGTAGTACAAAAATACGATATATTTTTTTATAATAAATAATAACTAAAGTAAAATTTACCTCAAAAAGGCATTAATAGTTTTTAAACTTAGGAAGTCCATCTAATTCTTTAAAGCAGAGCTTTCTTTACGCGTACCACTCATATACCTACCACTAATGACTAAAACAGGTACTATTATACTCTATTATTGTGCAGTCCATTCATAATTTACGAGTAATACTTCATATTAAAAACCCAGTGTTTTAATAAGCTGAATGCTGCAATACTATGGTTATCTTTTTAATATACCGCATAAGTATGTAACCCGATCTAGATATTACCGTAAAGTTTAAAAATATTTAATTTTTCGACGTTTAATTATAGTGGTAAAATGGTTATCAATTGTTACTGCTAATAAAATGTTTAAAATTTAAAAGGTTGTATTATCTAATCTGATTAACCTCTAATCTTGTTCTAATTATACCTACCAAGATACGTAGCATTTTGTCATCTGTATATTACTACCTATTTAAAATCACTGCTCTAAAGTACAATTCTTGTTCAATTTAATATTTCATTAATTATATTAAAAAGTTTTAGTCAAAAAAAAAAAAAAAAATTAAAAATACAAGACGTAGTCAAAATATTATATTGTCAGTATTACGTTTGAAAAATTTACAAAGTTTACAATATGTATAATATAATTTTCGGTTAATATTCTATGGTTACCACAATTTTCAAGTTTAACAATTATTTCTTAATTTTTTTTATACTAAGAGAAGTCAATTTTTTAAAAAAAATCTTAAAATGACTTAAATTTAAAAATACATATTTTCAGCCAAGACTACGTTTATCTAATATATAATATAATATATATACTTAATAAATTTATTATTATTAATATTATAATTTCAACAGATAGTTTGAAATGAGTTTAAATTACTAAAATGTTTTTATTAAATTGCATATTTATTATACATACCTACTAGATAATTAATAATGATAAACTCGCATCATTGTAATATTAAATACAAAACTACAATCTTTTTTTTTTTTTTTTTAATATAAAACTTCAATTTAAATAAATCATTTATTTTATTCAAAAACTTAGATGGATAAACATCACGAAAAAATTATATAATAACATAATGAATAAAAAATTGTTTTTTTTTATTGGCGGATGAACTTACTTCATTTATTTCACTAATGCACTGATTTTGGAAACTCGAGAATTTTATTCTGAAAATAATGAAAATCTTTTGATTTTTCACGACTTTCCAGACTAGTGAAATTCACCTAACATTTACCAAGTTTCTCATGTTTTCCAGGTGTGATGGCAACTTCATGAGTTGGTTGAATAATGCCGTACAAATTTCCCAAACGCAGTAAGCGTCTAGAAGATTATAAGAAATGATAATATTGTAAAATAAATAAATACATGTATATATTGTGATTGCCTTTAATAATATATTTAAACAAAAAATAAGTGGACGTTACACATTGCCAATAAAGTCATAAAGATTCAAAAGTATAAAATGGTATTTAGTGACATTATTGTTATTTTAAGCACTACATAACTATGTTTGTTATTAGTTATAAATAAAATTCTAAACTAATTTAATAGGTACGTCATTATTGTGCACTAATAAATATCACTAGATAGTATGGACGGTATAGATGTACTTAAATTAAAATAAGCATATAGCATAGTATAAAATATAATAAAAATGTATACATAAAAATAATGAATAAAAAACATAAAAGCGATTAATATAAAATATAAAATATAAATAAACCTAAAAAAAAAAAAAAAGAAATTGTGAAAACTAACTTATTTTTCATAAACGCAAGTACAAAAATAAAATAATATACATTATGAAAAAAAATCAATGTTGTAAGTTGTTTGAGTAAATTGATTATTTATTAAGATTATTTATATATGTCTATAGTTACTTTATGTTTAAATATTTATTTTTTTTTACATGTCAAACGTATTGTCAGAGGTATTTGGAAAAAAATCCCCATTATAAAAATCAATCCATTTTTAAACTTCCAAAATAAAAATTCATTATAAATCAAAATACAGAGATATATAATACGTAGAATTGCTATTGCTGTATACATAGGAATTATGAATGTTTTTCATAAGTAGGTACTACTATAAATCGATTAATCATTATTGATGTGTCATACAACATTAGATAATTTTTAATATTATTTTTAATTGAATATTAAAAGACTTTTTTGTTAGTAACATATAATATATTTTAGACTTTAGTAAAAATCTGTTTTAAATAGCTCTTTTACATTTTATCTAGGTAATGATAAAAAAGTAAATTAATGTTTGATTATTTTTTGTATTGATATTTAGCTACATTTTAATTACTTGAGGCCATTATATAGGCTTCATGTACGTAATATTAGAATGGATTCATTTTTATACTAGGAAATTTTCGTTCGAAATTCATTATCTGAAAACAACTTGTAGGTATGAATACTATAATCACTAAAAACTAATTATTTTATACTGTACTACTGTGATTCACAGTGATTCTCAAACAGTGTGCCACAAAACAAGTGTTTTGTAAACTGGCCTAAGATGTACAACAAAATTATTGAAAATATAAATCATTCAAATACGCCATTATGATATGTAGTGTTCTGAAATTTTTTTTATAAAACACTAAAGCATATCGTAAACAAAAAAAGGTTAAGAACCACTGCTGTATTATCTTGCATCCGGGCGTGCATTTAAATAGTTTACAATTGAAACATTTTAAGCAATTATTTTTACAACGTTGAAAATTATAATTACACGAAAATTTTGCAGTATTTATATTAAAAATCATACTTATCGCTATAGAATAGTATTAAATCACAATTACATTAAATTAAATAATGGCTGTCAATAATATTTTGAACACAGACGAGAGTTTTTGATTCATGCGTATTATAATATTATTAATAATATTTTAAGGCACTGTTTCTGCATATACATTCCAGTATATAATGCGGCACATTACATACACCAAAATCATATATGTTTTGATATTTTACTTGTTTGAAAAATTGTATTGAGTTTACCGTTACAGGTTTATATTCTTATAAATATATATATATATATATATATATATAATCCATTATGGTATATTGACCATAATCACAAAAGTTGATCACATTCGAGGCGAATTATTGTCGTTAACTTAAAACTATACGTTTAAAATAGTAAAAAATGTGTTAAAAAAATATAATAATTTAGATTATTACATGTGCGCGTGCGCATTATGTTTAAGATCTATTAATTTTAAATGATGCCGTACAACCTCAATAGCAACACGATCGACAGACAGACTGCCGAGTTTCTGCTCGCATTGTTGGTCAAGTACAGATTGGGATTACCTGAAAAAAAAACACACACAAACATTTTAAACAAAAGTTTGACAATATAAAATAAGACATTCTGATCAGGAATAATGCCAGGATTAATGCAAAACAAAACAATTAAATCGCACAAAACATAATACATAATGATCACAACAAGCGTACGTCATTCAATTTGGACGAAAGACAAGCCCACAAATTGAAATTGAATATTAAATATTTAAGTAAAAACTAGCAATCGCGAATATATCGCAATGATTAAATAGTGTTTTTAGATATGTATATACAAATAAAACGTTGGTACCAATACGTTTTTCGTGTATATACTAGTGATTTAAATAGGACATTGTGACATCCATATTATGATCAATTTAGAAAACGATTGTTGTTCTACTCGAATAATGGTTCTAGAGTTTTGGAAAATCACAATTATTGAGATATTAAAATATTAAGTGTAATTATAATTAATATTCTAGTAGCATGAGTTATCACTTCGTGTTTTTAATAAGGTAAAAAAAAAAATAGGAGCGGAGTACCGTTAAAAAGAATAAATATTTTTCCAAATTATTTAATACATGAAAAATTAATTTTCAATGAAATTACGCGTCAAGTAAACATTTCTGAATTATGTGTGATTCTATGTTTTCCATAAAAACATCCATATTTTTATTAGATTTGTAATAATATTAAATCGTTATTAAACGTTACATACATTAAAGTATTTATCATAATTCATAGTTACACGCACACGCAATAGTTTTGTCTGAAAACATATTATTATACACTAACATAGATTTACTACTTATAAATATTTTATAACATATATAAATATCATAAATATTTTAGTTTACATTATTGCTGTTTCAAATTTATAAATCATAATATCAACTTTTTGTAAAAAAAAAACTGTTGCATGTATTTAATAATTTTACTATATAATATATACCTGTCTCATTCAAATTACTTTCAGGTTTTTAATATTTATATATTTTGTTTACATTATATACTATACGTAAATTATGCTGATATTGTATAACTTTCAAGTACTTTTTTAAAATTAGTACAAAATATAATGTACATGGATATTATTTTAAAATTAAAATAATATTGAATATATTAATTTATTTTTAATTATATAATAATAGCATATTATATTATCTTAAAGCATATTATTACGATTATATTGGATATAAAAAATAGAAATAATATTAAAAAAGTCCAGTCATTTATACAGATACATACCACATACATAGTATTTTAATAACTTTTTAGAATGTCTTAATAATATGTATTATTAATTAGGTAGCGCACAACAATCTACGAATTACTAATATAATTAATTTATTTATACTCTATAATTAACGATGGTCAACGGCTAAAAACCTACGTACGGTTAACAAAATTAACCATTTAGCCTACTCGGTTTGGGTTTAGTATTAAAATATAATTGTTTTTCTTACTTTTAAATTTTTACAGTTTTGTAATCGGGAGTTGAAAAATAATATCTTAGTTCTTCGCATATTGTGAAATCATTTTTAAAATAGTGGATTCAATTATTCTATTTTTAGAAAAAATATATTATTTTACACATATATTGTGTTTAAATTATGTTCAAAAAATGTGATTTAATATAACATTTTTAATTGTGAATGAATAAGTGCAATAAATATCCAAACGTGAATAGCTAAGGCCTAAGGTTGTTATTATTTTACGCAGTGCTGTGCTACCATCATTGGGGCCCTGATACAATCATATTTCGTGTCCCTATTCATCATGAGTACGTACATAACATGTGATATAATTTCTAGAGAAGACTTAAATATTACAAACATTTAAAACCTGTTCCAAAATTATAAATTCTCAAAATTAATCAAGTACCTAACACATTATTTAACTGCAAAAATTATTTATACATGTTTTAATTACTTTTGTATTTTAAATTAAGTAACTACTAAAAAAAAGTAAATAAATTAACAAATGATTAAATAAGTTAAATAAAAATTAGACTTGTTCAATTTACATTCCAAGAAACTTCAACATATAGGTATAATTTTAATAGAACTAATAATAAATGATAATGAATATAAATCGGCGTTGACTCTTTTTTAAACAGAAAAATACCTTTTTTACTTATATTAGATCAAGACATTCACATTTGATAAATATTTATATATATTACGTATATATACATAGTCTCAGATTTCAATATTAGAGAATGTTGCATTTAAGTACTCATTATTGAGATGTTTTCGTATTTTTTTGTTTCGTTAAAAATATATTTTTATTTTAACTTTATGATTTCCTCACTAAATTTTATTTCCAAATCATTTACATATATAGACTATAGTATGTATTATATCACAAATAATATTAGCCACCATTTTATGATTCTATACAAATTGCGAACAATTAAATGATTGTTAACAATTTGATTAAACTAATGTTGATGGTACATTATGATTATTGGTGATTTGACAGTGACGATTACAAAGCGTGTTTGAGGAAATGTCACATTCGCATAATTTGTCTTAGTCTAACGTACAAACTTAAGTACAACCGTGGTAATCTACTAGATAAATGAACAAACACATAACAAATTTACATTCAACACAACCAATTTTATGTTAGAACTAATATTAAAGTAAGTTAATCTTTTATTACATTTTAAAATAAGAACCTTTCTATTTGTATGCGTCGTGAATTTTATTTTTAATGATATTTTATTAATTTTAAACGGGTAATAGCTTATGACTTATGAGTTATGTATACGTGAAATATGAAATATTGCGATTTAAAAAGGCACATAGCTTGCTTAAATATAAAAAAATATCATTTAAGATCAACATAGCGACGTATAAACATTGATGTTTACGTATTTAGATAAAAACATCACATGAAGGTGTGGCTTCTTTTAATAATAATCGTTACAATTAATAGCTACAGTCGCTACAGATAAGACAATCTTGTGCGGTCGAATTACTCGAACTTAACGTGTAAAGCCCTACGTAAAAGGTGAAACTGTTGAGTATCAAAATACTCGAGAATACAGTCGGCAATGATGCAAATCGAAAATTATAAATAGTTTTTCAATTGATGAAAAATAAAAATATGTACCTAAAAATTAAAATCAACAACGGTTTAAGATTTATCCATCATAGGTTCGCAATTTACGTTTCTAACAAAATATGCATTCATCATTATCAACCAATTTGATTAGGTACGTTGTAAAATAAGTGAACAACAAAATTACAAAAAATAGATATATGTTGTTTTTACATAGTACAGAACTTAAAGTAATAGTTAATTGCAACAAACTTCAGATAAAAATGAAATAAATCATACGTACATTAAATAAAAACCTTGAATGATTGTATAGAAAATTAAATAACACTTTCCTTAATTTCGAATAAAATGCATGCAAAAAATTTAAGTTGAACAATATTCTAGGTAACAGTACACAATTATCCCGCATGCGAAATTAATTTATTTCATTAACACAAAGTTATGTTACTTACATATCGTGATAACTAGAATAAACTTGTATTGTTCAGCATATACATAAATATTTTTATTTATTTATATCATATGCTACACATAAGTAATTTACTTTCACTATTAAGTAAAACTTCCTGTAATTATATATTTGTAATATTAAACCACAATTATGTAAACAAATGGTTTGGTATTTTAGTACCTATCGGCTATTTAATGAATTATAGGTACATAATACATGAAGTAATACATAAAAAACAGTAGATTACTGCTGATTATTATTGCTATGAAAATTTGATTGGAAAAATCAAATTATTTTTTTCTCTATAACTATATGTATTATGTGTGTGTACATTTTTAAAGAGAAATATGATAATAACTGAACTCGGTCCTAAAATTTTTAACATACTAGTTATGCTAATATTATATAATGCACCTAGAAAGGTATATAAAAAAATTGGAGCATTACACATAACTAATAGAAATTGTAAATTAAATATTACACAAAGAAATAGAGAATTTGACGCTGTCTACATATTTCAGGCTATGTATTGATTAATTAACAATAGAAACAATTAAATTTATCACACAGTTTGTATAATAAGAAATTAAATTATGTATATATATATAAATTTAGAGATAAATATATTATTTAACTAAAGCTTACCCATTTGGAAAGTGTTAATAGGTGATGACATCCGCCCATCTCCTCCATTAGAATATGCCAATACTCGAAGTTTGTAAACTTTACCAGGTGTTAGGTTAGAAATATATGCTTCTAATTTGTTTTCAATTTCAATAATCGTATCATTAGCAGTACTCATATCTTGATCATTTTCCCATACCCGCACCTATCAATTCATATGTTAATCAAAAATTATATTAATTACATTGGTTTATTGATATACAAACCTTATAGCCTTTGATTGGTTCTTCTTCAAGTGTTGGTTGTACATATCGCCAAGTTACATGAATGGTACCAGGATTTATGCCATTAATTATGACAGATGATGGTGGTTTTTGAGGAGCTTTTCTGTATGTTCGTTCTATGAAATGAATGTTTTATAATTTTAGTCATTTTTTTGTATAATGACTCATACTTATAAGATATAAATTAATTTATTATTTGATTCCATTTTTATCAAACAATACTTTAAACAATTATTTATCTTTAATTAAATTGTTAATAATGTGTCTTACAGAAAAAATGCTGTACGGTTCTAATAATCATAGACTAACAAACAACAATGCAGAAAAAAATATACAAATAGATTACTACTTTATCAGTATAAAGGTGATAATCAATCAAATAATATTCAAAATTAATAGTTTACAAAAATTGAAAAATATAAATTTCCCTAATAACATTTATAAGATTTAAAATCTTACCAATATATCGCTCACTCTCCGGACCTTCTCCAGCTGAATTAAAAGCCATTACTTTTACGTAATATTCTGTATCTGGTTGTAATCCAACAATAAGTGCCCAAGGTCTAACATATCTACTTAAATAATATACAGCATCTTCTTCTTTTTCATTCTTATCTTTTTTCCAATATTTTAACTAGAGAATACATAAAATGTTTATGTTACTATGAAAAACTTTAATAACATATTTTGTATCAAAAAACACAGTTATAGTATGGGTCGTGAAAGACTGTAACTTTGCCACACATATAATTAATAAAATTCTCTTCCCCAAGCACACATTTATTGTCATGAAATAGGTGCTGGATGATGCGCAGATACAACATATTGTCTTGTTCACCACTGGTTGTGGCCTCTTATGGCACAGAGTATAATGAAATATGAATTATATTAAATATATTATGAAATATACTCACTCGATGACCAATTAATTTTCCACGTAACATTTCCCGTGATTGATCAATCGGTACCCAACTTACATTAATGGCAGTCGAGTTGTAAGAAATAGCAAACACCTGCTGAGGAGATACTTGTGGCATATCTTCTGCACTGTATATCACTTTAGGATCTGATATAGGACCAGCACCAAATGAATTAAAAGGCTGTAAATACACAAAATGTATTTTATAAATAGAAAATATTTTGATAAAAAAAAAGTAAAAGACTTACTTGAACTTTGACTTCATACTTAGTATAATAATATTCTGGCTTTATGTGTACTACTGCCATTCCTATATTGCCACTCTCTTGCAATGTCTCATACTGAAAATCTGTATCATGATCCAAACGTCTCCAAAATACCTTATAATAGATACCTGGTCCATTTTGATCTTGAGGAGGTAGTTGCTAAATGTTATAAATAAATATATTTAGACCAATTTAAAGAAAATAAAGTACCATTAACTTACTTTCCACACAATTGTTAAATCTCCAATTTTGCCATCACCTCCAGTGATATTTGTAGGTGCTTTATATGGGCGATCAGCTGGTGTATTAACTTGAGGCGACGGTAAAGATTCTTCACCAAAGCCAAGTTCATTTCCTGCTACCATTTTAAATTCATACTTAGACCAGGGTAGCAAAACATTTTCTAAAAATGCTTCTTTACGCCCATTATACCTATCAACTTCCTTGACTATAAAATCTGTAATGTTTAATAATATTTTTAAGTTAGGTAAATCATGAACTTATAAAATAAAAATTACCTGCGGCAATTGTATGCCAAGTACTGTTCCATTGTGAACGGGCGCTTACTATATAATGTGTAATTGGACGCCCGTTCGATGCACCATCAGACCATTGAAGTTTGGCAGATGTCTTTAGGACTTCAACTTGTAGCCCACCTATACAAAATATAATTAAATAAACTGTAACTGCATTGTACATAAACATATTGCATTGAAATGTTTAGATAAAAATATTATATTACCTGGAGGTCCAGGAGGTCCATCAACAAATAAAGTAGTTGTTGATGATATTTCCCCAACAACACTATGTACAAAACATTTGTATTCACCAGAATCTTCCAATGTTATGTTATGAATGTAAAGCTCTCCACTATTTATGCTCTTTAACATTAAATTATTAATTATTTAATACAAATAAAAATAAATTAAATGCAAAGGTATAATGTATGCTTGATAATTTTTGATATAAATTTTTCAATTTACTTAAATACATTAGGTATATAAAAATTAAAATTTAGTAAAGACTTATAAATTTCAACTATTGTATTTAAGTAACAAATTTTAATGTTTTGACTTTTAAATCTTTAAACATGTCATATTTATTACATAAAATTAATTCAAACTATTGTAATATTACAAAACATACTAATAATTACTATTGACACCATAGAAGATAGTTGTTCAACTCAACAAAATATTAAGTGTAAATTAGATAAAAATAAAAGAAGATTATTCTACCCAAATAATTCAGCATTCGCAATAACACAACTGTGATCTCTAAAGTATTAATTTTTTTTGAAAATAATATAATACAGTGAAACCTTTGAATACTGAACATTCTTGGTCCCTAAAATATTTCTATTATTTAAAAAAGGGCTCAATCTATGGAAACTTTGTAGTTAGTACTCAAAAAAAAAATGTCCAGTTTTTAAAGGTATCTATTAAGGGAGATATCACTATATTCTACTATAAGTATTTGAAGAAAAACAACATTGATAACTTAAAAACTTCAACTATATAACTCAATAAAAATTTAGAAAAATACATTCATGATAAATATTTAATCATTGGATTGATTTTTAAAATAGATACAAACAAGCAATAGTATTTGAGAATTTCCCATAATATAACAACTAACAAATATTTTTTAACCCATCAATGGTTGTAGTACTTTAATAAGTAACTATAACACAGTTAGTCGAATGCCAGCATCACACACTATATAGTTGTATATAACAATATTTCACGTCATTTTTTCAGAATCATTAAATTAAAATTTTAAAGACTGATATTATATAAAGGTGCAAAAATCATCATTTTGTAATGATAAAAACACTTTATACCTAAGCGAAATTGTGATATCACTAGAATTATCTGTGTTATGAAGAGAATTTAACTTCCAATTCTACCACCACCTATGCAATGATAGTTGATACATTTTTATTCATTTTTACATACAAAACAAATAGCAACAAAAATTAACACACAATGAAAATAACAGCAATAAATTTATTTATTGACTTTTGATAGGAAGATGAAAATTTTTAAAATTGATATAATATAAAATATTAGCATAAACAAAATAATAATAAAAAATAAATTAACTCAAATAATTTAAAATTTGAGATGATTTAAAAAACTAATACTTACAATATGTCCAGTAAGTTCAGCATTAGAATTAACTAATGGCATATTGTTGTGAGTCCAAACATATGCAATGTCTAAGAGTTCATCTGAAATAGCTTGGCAACGTAATAGTAAATCGTGTTTAACAATTGATCTAATTTGGGGACTTAGTTGTTCAATGAATACAGGGCCACCTACAATAAAGTATAATAAATAAAAAATGTAAAATAAAAATATTATGATATAATTACTTAACAAACATTAACTTACGCATAACAATAAGTTTTCCATGACTTTCTGCAGTTCCGTACACATTTTCAGCAATACATATGTACATGCCTTCATCATCTCTCCCAATTGGGTTTATTATTAAATTTCCATTTTCTAGTATGCGACGCCTTCCCCCAGACCCTATACAAAAATGAAAAGGATATCATAAATAAAATATGTATAAAACATATAAATATATATTAATATGTGTTTTGTATATAAATATAAATACAGTTAATAAAAGCGGCGTTTAAAACATTTCAAGGTAGTAAAACAATTTTTTAATTGATCAAATACAAAGAAATATCATACAATTGTATTTAAATACCTTTATGTCCAAATAGTAAAAAAATAAATTAGTCTCGACTTGTAATTTAAGATATGAGCTAGATGAAAAAAAAATACTGAAATCAATTCATTTTTTTTATAAATAACTTAACACATTCACTTCCATGTAACCGTCAGCAGTCACACAATATGTGTTATCGACATGCCAAACATATTTTTGTATGTTATTTCTATTTATTGTATACTATTTTATTAGAAAAAAACATTTGAAAATAAACATTAAAAAAATATTAATTATTCCCACTATGCCATTGTGCTTTTTTTTTTTAATATATTATAGAAGCGCCATAGAAAAGTTAATAATTTAAAACCGTATTCATTTATCTCAGACGCATAGCACATAGATAATAAGAAGGTGCAACCACCAACATCTGTGAAAATAATGTAATATCCTAATGGTATGTGGACACTGGTGGACGCATAGCAATCAATATATTAGCTATTCATTAATTTATTTGAAAATAATAAAGCATAGCAACTAACCTATTATATATCCATCTTTTTTCCATGTAAATTTAGGTCTAGGTGCAGCTTCAGGATTACATTTAATTGTTACATTTTTGCCTTCGGCACCGTATATTTCAGGCTCCAAAGGTTTCTTTTTAAATGATGGGCGCAAGGCTATAAAAGGAAAATCATATCATGAATTTTTCACAATAATGAATTAAAAACATTAAAAAATTGAATTAACTTACAAAGCACTCTTAATTGTGCAGATGAGTAACGGGTTTTTAAAGTATTGCGAGCTTGACATTGATACATTCCTGAATCTTTTTCATTTTCTAAATATTTTATACTTAATACATTGTCCTGTATCAAATACCGTTTTTGGTCATCAGGTAATAGTTTGTCGATTTCTAGTGGTTCACCATTTTTAAACCACTTATATGTTACATCTGGAACACCAAAAGCTTCACATGTCCATGTCAAATCTGATTGGTGATCCATGTGTTTATCTTCCAATGGAATTGTGAAATTCGGTTCAGCTAAAAGAATATATGGTTTATAATATAATAACTATAACATCAAATACACGCATTTAGTACAATAAACACCCAAAAATATTTTTAAAAAATACTTAAAAAGCAACGGCTGTTATAAATACTCTCAATCATCTATAAACTTAAAATTATGTATACCAATAGTTTATATTTGTATAATAAAGAGAAAACTTAATTTAAAACAATTGCTGGTAGTTAAATATATCTAAATAAATTGTAAGACATCAATCCTTTAATGATAAATTAAAGCGTAGAATCACAAAAATGGTTTATCAAGTTATTTGGTAAAAACTGTTAACTGTAAAAACAATTTGTAATTACCTTGTATTGTCAGAATAAGACTTTTTTCTGTACTATCCCGATCATTAAAAACATGACAATTATATTCTCCTTGATCTTCTACTTGAACTTCAGGAATTATCAATACACGATTGTAACTTGTCAAATAAGAGCCTTTAGGTAAAGGAGAACCTTTTCTTGTCCAATTATATGAAGGTACAGGACTAAAAGTAACAGTAATCAATAGTAATTATTATTTATTAGAAAAAAAATCATTTAGTAATTTAATAATGGAGTATATTTAAATTAATTTTAGTTTAAAAGTACCGAGTATAATATACATTATATATTATGTAACAGACTATGATAGAATGAAAATATATATTAATAATTATTCAAAAAATAACTTAATTTCTTAAGGATAAAAAAAAAGACAAGATAGAATAATAATCTTACTATGCAAATGCAACACATTCAAGTCTAACTTCTTGGCCAGCAATAGGTGCTTCTGGAAAAGCTTTAGGAAAGCTATTGGGTAATATAAGTTGTTGATAGTCAGCTAAAAAAAAAAAATAACAGTGATAAATAAGTTAATAAACATATTAATATAAATTAAAGAAATATAGTACATACAATGTGTTACTACATGTAACGGGAATAAGGGTCCATTCTTGCCGGTATTTGAAACTTCACTTTGCACATTACAACTATAATTTCCAGCATCACTTTCTTCCAAAGAGGAAAAATATAAGTACCCATTATATGAGACAAATACTCTCCGATCTTCTTGAACCAAGTTAGGAAACGATTCTCTGACCCAATAATATCTCACCTCTAAAAACAGTCAAAATTAATAGATACAATTTATTTAATATTAATAGTAAATAAAAAAAAATAATAAAATTACAAATTTTATTTTTTTTTTTTTTCTCACCAGGGAAATATTGAGGAGGATCACAAAATATTGTTTTGCCCCAATTCTTATTACCACGTTCAAGAGGACGTTGTAAATTAAATTCACCAATAAATCCAAATGAAAGTTGTATGCTTTCAGAAATTACAGAACCAAACATATTTGATGCTTTACAATGATATCGACCTCTGTCTTCATCCTATTAAAACCAATATTATTTGTTTATATTACCTTGATTACCATTTAAAATATACAAATAATATTATTAATTTTTACCCTTTTAGGAGCATAAATAATAAGAGTTCCACCACTTAATGTGAATCTCTTATTACTTAGTGGATCAATTTTTGTAGATAATAATTGATCCTGATTATCATAATCTTCTTTAAACCACTCATATGTTGGTGTTGGATAACCTCCAGCAACACAACTAAAATATTTGTTTTAACAATACATAATACATAAATATTTAAATATAATAAAATAATAAATAATTAAAATATTCATGCTTAAATAAGCTAATTTATATTTATATTCGTATAATTAATAACAATATCAATTTTTTATTATCGTGTAAACATACCTCAAAGCTACATCATTAGTAATTGATATTCTAGAACTATCAAAAACTACATCTGTAGGTTCTTTAATAAAGTAAGGACCTCGAGGCACTTTTTGCTGATCGTCAATATTATAGCCATACTTATAAGAACGTTCTTCAACTATTAAATGTTGTTTATTAAGAGGTATTTCACAAATATAAAGCAAATACCGGTCTCCTGGAACTTTTTCAAATCCCCATTTTTGTAATTGAACTGAATACCTGAAAAGAATAATATTTGTATTAATTTAATAGAACACATTATTATAAATTGAATTTGATTATTTATATTAATAATTTTTTAAAGTATTTATCATACAAACTTATATATAATTTTTTCAAGATATATTTAAGTGACTTACGTGTATGCAATATAATCTTTGTTTAATGTTGTATGTTGTTCAGGCAATAGTGCACTTTCAACATCAATAAGTGGAATATTGTTTTCTACATCATTCACCCACACTCCAGGGCTTGTTTGCTTACCACCTACATACCACTGTCTATGTTGTGGGTCCTGTTGCAAGAGTTGATTAATGAGAAAACCATGTTCATCTAAAGTATTAACACTAGCTAAATCAGCTCCAAAAGCCTAGAAAAAAAATAGGATCAAGATTAGTTGTTTAAGAATAAAACAAATAATTTAATAAATTATATAAAAAATTATACAAAAATTCCTTGGATATTTTCAAGTATTAATATTATTATACAATATTAATCATAACTTTTAAGTAAAAAACCCATTTTAAGCATATTAAATACAATTAAATAATAATAGAAAATCTAACTCAATGATAGGTAAAAATTCAATTTTTTTTAAGATTCCTTTTTAGTCCTAAAATTAGTAAACCAGGGTTTGGTATTGTAATTATGAAAAAGGAAGCTACAATTTAGTACCTACATAATATTCCAAAATAAACAATTTACTAGAAATCTTGAAATCAATAAATATGTATGAATGTACAATATACCTATTTACTTTCATAAACAAGTTAATATAAGATAAAATTAATTAATTAAGAGAATTGGAAATATACAGCGATTAAAATTATTTAATTTTAAATAGTTACCACTTTTATAATATGTTGAACATGTATCATTTTAAAATTTTTACATAACTGTATTAATTAATAATTATTCTACATTTTTTATAATGAACTGTAATTATATAATTAGATGTTTTTATCAAAATATTATTTATGACAAAGCAACACATATCAATTATTTAAGAAGTATACTTATAACTATTACCTCAAAACTAAGAAAACAATTTGATAGAAATTACAAGAAAAATAAGAAAATAAATCCTGATGGAACATTTAAAAGAAAAATTACATTGAGATGCATAAAACAAAGGCTGTCAAATTTTTCAATAAATATCATAAGTGCTATAAGTTTTTTTTCATACACCGATCTAAATAGTATTTAAAACAACACTAACAGAAATAATTGAACTGGTATGCTATTGGATTCATTAAGTTCCAGTATATCTAACAGAACGTTGGAAAGATCAAGCAACCTTACTGTAATTGAATAGTACAAGTTGTGTTAGGATGCAGTAGGTTATTTTTCAAAACGACACAAAATGAATGAGCAAAGTTTAAATTAGGGAAATCGACTTGTCTCTTTTTTAGGGAAAAATAGACAACAACTGATAACATGTTTGAGAAGTGCCTATTAAAAAACAAAAATAAAGAAAATGAAGAGCTAAAATATGATGAAAAAACTGAATAATAAATGAGAGAAAACTAATCAACAAAATTATGATTCACAAATCCGGACATCATGGTTTGTATGTACAATTTTGTCTTTAATAGTTCTACAATAAACTTTAAAGGCATCACTTTTTACGCAACTGAGAAGGAAGATTATTATGAATAAATTAAAAATATTATTAACATAAATAAAACTACCTATATCTCTGCCTTATTTATACTAGACACACTTCCCGAGTACTGGGCAGATGTATTTTAACTTAAATAATTCTTGTTTAATATTGTAATTAAAAAAGTTGAAATAATTTTTGAAAGGAGATATTGTTAAACAACCAATAATGTACAAATATGGCATTTGTAGAATGAATTTATAATTTATACCCAACGCGGTAATGTACCGTCGTGGCACACAGTGCAACTTGTAACTAACAATAAATACTGTATTTGATGAATAAAAACGAAAACAAATCATGATTCTAAACAAACGCATTTGTTTTCGACAATACATACAAGACAGTTTCTGTGAGCTTCACTTCTCGGTCGGAACGGCGACTTTACAAACTTGTAACAGGAGTTTCCGTACTGGACCCAGTACTGCGGACAATGCCATTCGGTTTCCACGTCGTTGAGTTGCGACCGAATCGACGGTATCGAACACCACAAAACGGCAAAAACGCACAGATAGCTGGACTTGATCATTTTGAAAAGCGAAGAAATAAATAAACCACACGCGCAGTGCGCCTCGTTCGCTGCTGGTTCACTACGATGGCTTATTGCCGTTCATCGCGATTTCCCAAGAACGTGGAGTGTAAAATATCGAAACCGAGCGACGGTTTGTAAAAAAACAAAAAAATTTAGGTGGCGTTAGTAGGAAATCGTTTGAACCAATGAAAGGAATACGACGGGAAAATGTTTACAACAGTGTTATCACCGCCACTCAGAACACGCCCGCCTGACGGTGTTCGGAAACAATGCGCAAGGTGGTTTTTTTTTTTTCGTTTTATCAGTTTCGTTCAACGGAATGTTACGTCTGTTGTTGTTCGTACACGCCCCTCGGTGTGGAGGCAAGACGCTCGAATAGGTACGTCTTATTTGTTTGATCGACAAGGCGCAATAACAAAATATTATTTATGGGGTTCTGTCGGTTCTGAATTTAAAGTATTGAAAGACATTTTTTCTTCGTTTTAAACGTATTCGCTAATAGATGGTTATATATATATGTAAATATTTTACATATATTCTTTGTTTCATATAATAAACCAACTTTTAAAATGTTCACTTGCAAGCTGCAAGTTGACAAGACTATAAGCTTTTAGATGATTTTTTTTTCTTCATTGAAATGAAACATTTCAAAAAAATTGATTTCATTAAATTTTAAAACCTTAATTATTAATGACCAAAATCGGTAAAGCCATTAATTTAATAATATGTTATTATAAGTAATCTAACGCAGGTAACTAATTTAAATGCCTATCATTTATCTAAAGAGTAAAGAAATACCTACCCTACATCGAGAATAGAATGTAAATATCTATTACCTATGTAGGTATTACAAGTATGACATTTATCGTAACAATAATTTAAAAACGTAATAAAAAGAAAAAACGAGTAAGTAATTTAAACGTGAAAAATAAACATAATATATATTTTATAGTCATAATCATATAAGATACCAATAGTGTAATACAAAATATTTTTGAATTTGAATTTGCAATTATTATTTTTTTATGACAATTTATAGATAATTGAACAATTTGGGTCAATAATAAGTTTTCTTATTTATTTGTACAAACTCAAGATCAAGAATACTATATTTTAATAACATCTACTAACCACTAATAAAAAAAAACCTACTAATTAGTAATTACAATTGTAAGACGTTCTCGTAGCTTTTAAAAACAAGACTTAACAAAATTACGTAATTGTTTTTAATACATTTCACTCATGAAAAAAAAAATACATACTGTAACAGTGTTACAGTATCAAAAAAGAATTATTTATACTTTTATTAGTTTAAGGACTAAAGTACCTAAATAGGAACTTTTACTGTACTTATCAATCATTTGTGATTGATACTTTCACTTTGAAAATTAAGTATGAGTTGTATAAGAGTATTAATATTGTTTGACATAATATTGTTTATTATTTATCATTAATTCTTTATGGTTATTGATTTCTATACACTGATGTCTGATACCTATGGTATTAATAAATTTTATTTCTATAGTCAAGCATGGCAGCAATCAACTAATTTTATAGTTAGACAGTTTAATAATTTTATATTAGACTCAAAAAATTAAGTTATTTATATTATTAAATATGAATTATGTATTTATGAATATTCTCTCGACATGGCATTAAATTAATATACTTTGTACATTTTATTGTACATTATATATATAATTATTAATTGTTGAAGTATATGTATTTTTTTATTGTAAATAATAATAGGAACCTTTGGCTTTTATTAAAAACCAAAAAATTAAGTTATTTTAAAAATTAGATATTACCAAAAGAACCTCTGAAATTTACCTTAATCAATCGTTTTACATATTTTATCCACTAGATGTTTTTACTATTGTACTTATCTAAGACTACACATAAATGTAATAGTGGTTGTCAATCAAATGCATAGATTTATTTTATTAATTATTTTTAATATTTAATTGATTTAATTTTGTTAACCAATAAAGTATGGTATTATTGTAAAGAAAAAACTATTTTTTTATCATTAAAATTTTATAGCTTAGAAAGCTGTAATATTATTATATCATATGTATAATATTGTTATTTAGATAGAGACCGACAGATATTAAATTAGGTAAGTATCTAAATTGAATAAATAAAGAGGTATTCAATATTATAAGTTATAAAATTTAAAAATTGTTCCAAAAAATAGAAGTATATTTTACGCGTAATGTATAACTACACAGCAACAGAAATTAAAAAATAATTTATATATCATATATGTATAAAAAAAAAACAACACAAAGTATTAAAAATACCCAATAGGAAAATATATATAATGGCCATAAGACCGAAAAAATGTGAAAAATGTAAAGTAAAAGTTTCAAAACTGAATTTATTGGTAGTACCTACCCAATTCAAATGTGTTGAGAAAGCTATGTATTACAATGAGTAAAAATATACATGTCAAATTAGTTCACATTTAGATTGCTATATCACCTAACTCAAATTCACCAGTTCAAAGTAAGTAACACAATTTTTGTATGCATTTATGTCCATAACCTTTACATGTAAATCATTTTTATAATCATATATGACACACATGGACCCTAATAATAAATAAATATAGTCACCACATTGTTTTCTACCAATAATTTAGTTTATATATCTTTCATAATAATTAATGCATTAATAATATGTTGTACAGCATTTACAATTCAGACTCATAGTTATAAATACTAATTAAAATAATAATAATGAATTTGTTTAGAAATATATATTTTTACAATTTATAATTAAGTACAAGTAATAAATATAATGTACTTTTATTTGTAAGCATTATCAAAAAATTTTAAACTTACCTTTTTTCTTTAAATTTTTTATTTTTTTTTTTTAAATATAAATAGTATAAAATAATATAAAATACATTTTTAATATTCTAGTAATACGGCAGAAATAGTAAACCAATAGCATGTATACTAAGGCTGACACGTTAATCAAAATTGTAATCGCATTTAAAAATAATATATTTTTTCATTGTTCAATCTTACAATGACATTTAATAAAAAAAAATTTAACAATTGTGTCAATATGCAGTTGTAAAAGTTTATTTTTTACAATTTATGATTAGAAAGATTGAAGTATACTTCAAATGCTTAAAAGTTAATTAAATATTAAAAACTAACAAAATAAATATTTGATGTTAAAAATATTTTTAAATTTTTTCAAAACATTACACCTAAGAATAATGTTTATAGGGACATACATTTATTTTTTAAAAATTGATTGCCAAATGTTGGTAGTAAAAAATTGGCTATTACTATAATATAATATGCATATTAAGAATATAAAAAATACAGCAACTTGAACAACAAAAATAACCATGAATAAAATCATGTATAAAAATTAAAAATTGTAATAAATCTTGTTGATTTATTAGTAAGTAATTATTAGGGCCTAGATTTATATGCTTTAAAAACTTCAAAAATATGCATTTATGCTATTATTTTATAGAAATATATCCTATAAAATAAAAAATATGCAAAAAAATTTATTAAAAAAAGTCTTTTATTTTTATTAAATATAAATAAATAAAATTGAATGAAAGTTGCGCACACTCAGATTACAGTAAACACGACTAATGTATGATTCACTAAAATCTACTCAATAACAAATTACTACTTGTCTCAATAGGTCTCAGATAAGAAAACAAAATAACTTTGTCCAATTACATGAACTATAAATACGTTACTTTAATTAAAATAAGTAAAATATTACATATTATGCATTTAAAAACTGTATACATGCAATAAAAAATCATATAATACAGAATATGCAGTACATGTCAAAAAATGACAAAATATGCAAAATAAAACTTTATATTTCAGATCAATTTACTACAAATCAAACTTGAAGCTTACCTAGTTATTTTTTAGACTATTCAAGAAAAACATGCAAATGCATATAAATCTGGGCCCTACTAATTATTATAGTAAATTATTTTAAGTACTAAAAAACTTTTACTTTTTATATATTATGCTACCTCAACATTTAGGATATGAATTAATCATAATTTACATCTCTAGTTGTAAAAAAATATTTTAATGTTGCAACTTAAATAAAGATAAAATTAATATAAATCTATAGTTTAGCAAAAAACACCTTTGTTATCTTAAACAATAAATATAATTTAAATTAACTACTTTATATTTACAAAAATACATATAATAATACATATCTTAATATTTAATACTAGCTATTTACAAACACATACATATAAATAAAGGAGTACTTATTTATATTAGTTATAAAAAAATATCAATTAACAATAGTATAGGATGTTTTTAAATAATAAAAATTTAATACATTTGTTGTTAATCTGAAAAAATCATATTCAATACATCATTGATCGGGTCACCATTGTAAAATACAGTGAAGTCATTCTGTGCAATAGAACACTTTTCTAATGTACCTTCAATCCACATTTCAATTGGTTCATACCAACTAGCATTTAATAAACAGTAATCCAAATCAGCTTGTCTATACAATTGGAGCATTTGTAATATGTCTAAACACCAAGATCTACGGTTTGAAAGTTTGCACATATTTTTTACATAATCCATTAAATCGTCAACATTTTTAGGCGGCCATGATTCATATGGCAATAAATGTGCAATACTTAATAAATCTTCAAAATATTTTAGATTAAAGTTTGAATATTCTTTTGAAAACTCATCTGGATTTTGAGTGTAATATGGAACCAAATCAGGTGCCAAGTCTGTTAATATTTGATTATTTCTACCCAACCTTTTCATATAAGCATCCAAGCATTGATTGTATTTTTCAATAATAATATTTGGATTATCTTCAGATAATAAACTACGTACTTTTACAAAGAAATGTTGAGAAAAATTGAGTAAATTATAATATAATTTTTCTACACGTATACCAGGGGCTAAGTCTACAAAATGTTTGGAAAAAAATTCAATGGATTCTAAAATGGTTTTTGGTCCTTCCCATATGTAAACAGAGTAGTTATTTATGTATTCGTTTTCCTTGTACCCATCTAAAACATATTCATAATGTTTAATACTATTTTTATCTGATTTAGAAGAAAATATCATGACTAAGGGTATAGCTGTTGGAGTTGACTGCAAAATTAAATCTACACGTTTAAACAACGTTTCTACATCTTCTTTATCCGTATTTGTGAAGATAAGAGCTGCGTTCAAACCGTTGTTTGTCCAGTCGAATTGCCCAATA